CTTCCAGCCGATTCTAGTCGCTTCGAAGTGAGGTTTCTCCCCGATCTCCTCCAATACTGCGGTAACTAGCGCTGGAAAGCTGTTCTTCCTCCTCTTCTTTTAGCCCAAACACAATCAGGTTCTTGCTCCTGTCCTCCTCTGCAGCCACACTCTTCATCACCTTCTTCAGGATATTACTGTTACAGACCGTACCACTTGCACTGTTCTGTTGAACAGCTGCACTATAGTTCTGAATCCCTGACTCCACCGTTGTTTGTACTGTCTCCTCAACAGACGTCTTAAGCAACTGAAGTTGTTCATCCTTCTGCACAAGCAGTTGGCCCTGCAGTCTGATCACCTTCTCTTTGTCTGCTAGTGCTTCCGTCTTGAAGCACTCGATGATCTCCTTCAAGAGATACAACTGACTATTCTGCCGACGAACAAGGTCTATTGCATTCACAAGCCAGCCTGACAGAGTCTGTTTATCCTTAGTCTTGATCTTTTCACGACTTTCGTAATCAATGTCACTGTAGTCCATGTGCAGGTCTTTTCCTAACTGACTGGACCACCTTGCAACACAGCCTTCCACATCTTCCTGTTCATCATAATTGAACTCCTTGATTAACTCCTGGGATCGGGTCAAACTTGGGTCATCCGCCATAGTGTACTTGTATAGTAATGTACAAGTACACACGCAAAGGTAAACTACGCTGTAGCAGCAAACTGAACTTATCGCAAATTTACAAAAGATAAGAGAGAGAGAACTGGTTTTCATGTATTATCCCCTTGGAAGTAAGGAAACTATAGAGCCTCTTATAAATTAACTTTTCTAGAATTTTCCCGAATACAGGTAGAGTTGATACTGGTCTATAGTTTTCTAATAGCTGTTCATCTTCTTTTTTGTAAATGGGGCTGATTCTCCCAGTCTTCAATTCATCGGGGAAGTGGCCTTCTTGCATGCATTTGTTAAAGTATCTAGCTAAGTACGGTGCAACTTAATTTGGCATGACTTCTTGATCACATGAATAGGTATGTCACTGGATTTCCCGTTTTTTAGTTCGCTTATGGTCTCTTTAATCTCAGTACAGTCAGAATCCCAAAGATAAATACTGGACGTAATTGATGTTGGCAGGTAGTCAGTAAATGAAGGCAGCGAATTTATTCTCAAATAGTCACCAGAGTATGCTTCGTTCAGGTTAGCTGCAATAGAGGCAAAGTATTTATTGAACTCATTTGCAATTATACGACGATTAATCACACGTTCATTATTTATCACGAAGTTCGGCTTGATCTCACGTCTTTTCTTACCACGTAGTTCGTTGATTATCTGCCAGGTTTTCTTGCTATCTCCAGCGCATTCTGTAATCTTAACACCATGATACTTACGTTTTGCAGAATTGATAAGGTGGTTTAATAACTTCCGGTGTGCCTTAAATTCTTCATGACGTGTTACCTTATTTGTACAATTATAACAAAGAGTAAGACAGTCTGCATGGCTAGGTGAAGAGTTGCTGAGGCATTTCTTCTTAACTGCCTTTTTCCATAGGTCATAAAGCTCATGTTTTCTATTTATAGAGGCAATTAGGCCAGATGTAATCCATGGGTTGTTTTTAGCAGTACGTTTAGAACACTTAGGCTGGTCTAGTTTACATGCGTTGGTCTAGTTGATGATTGAATAGAGTGAAAAAAGTACTGAAATCTTCTGGTGGATCACTTGTTAATTCATTGTCTAGTACTTCGACAAATTTGTTCACATTAGTTGCACAGTAGTCATAGTACTGGAAGTGCTTTTGTTCATGATCCTCAGCACTGACTAGGGGTGAGTTGAATATGTTAAATACAGCATGATGGTGACTGATGCAGGTACTAATCGTTCCAGAGCAGATAGAGTTTCGATGTTGGTGGTGAGTATGTTGTCAATGCATGATTGGTTACATCCTGGTTTATGATGCGTAGACGTAGAAATAAGTGGTGATAAACATAGGCCTAGAATAAGGTTTTCAAAGTCTTGAAACGAGTTTACTGTTTTCATCATGGAGATTAATGTTGAAGTCTCCTAGTATGTAAACATTCTTTTTTGAGCATGATTCAATAATTTTCTAAGTTCATTTAGTGCCTCTGAGGCGTTCCCACTAGGAGGACGGTACAGAACTCCTACATGTAGAGGTTCATCATGTTGAATGGTAATAAATAGGGTTTCAAGATTTTTGGTTACCCATGATAATTTTTCGTTTACAACTCTATTAAGTTTGTCCTTTAAGTACAATGCTACTCCACTTCCCTTCGCTTTATTGATATGTTTATCTTGGTAGAAACAATTGTATCCCTCTAGATGGTAAACAGTGCTTTCCTCTATTCCAATATTGGTTTCAGCAAGTCCGATAATTTTAAATTTTTCGGCTATTAGGTCTAGTTCCATGCTAAAGGCATCAAAATTTGTTTTATTGCCATCTATGTTCTGGAAAATCATGGAGCAGTTGCTTGCAAAACACGGTTTGATATGTGTGTTAAAGTTTATTTTAATATACATATTTAATTAATATGTGATAGAGCCATACTGAGGACAAACAAGAAAAAAACTAATTTTGTGTTCCTGAGATAACACAGGTTAAATTTTGAGGTTTACCTGTAAAACTAGAACTACAAACAGCCCTAACTTTTTTGACCTTTCGATTCCTTAGTGGAGAAAATCAGCCTCTCCCTGATTTTGATTCTTTATGGTTCCTTGGACAATCATTTAAAAATATTGTGTAGCGATTTATGAGGTTAACCATTTCAAAATGTGTAATTTAGCTTGAGATCATCACAAGTATTCTTTAAAATATGTTAATAAATTAAATTATTTACTATGTAAAATATACACAATCAACCTAGTTCAGGTTAATGAACTTCCTCTTTGCTTCCTCTTTGCTAAATAGTGATGAAATCACAGATAATCATTATGTCTACTTTTGTCCTCCAAATAATTATCTCCTTCAATTCTACTTATCACCTCATCAGACACATTCCAGTGATGATGATTACAATATATTCCATTTTAAAAACAGTCCTAAATATTCTAGACTTGTCTTACTATAATTAACACTAGAAGATTTGTTAACATCCACTGGTAGGAATATACCAATAAGGTATAACTCTCTCAGATATAAAAAGCTTTACGAAGATTCCTTAATTTAGAGCTTTTAATATTGCACTTTATCTTTGAAACAATATTCATACCTGATCTGCTGATATGTGTGAAGAATATTCAAACAATATACACATAATATAGCAATGGCCAATTGGCTGACTATAAGGTCATGGCCTGAACAAACAATTTTTTTAAATAGTCAAGTGATGCTAAAGCAGAGCACAAATGTGTAATAAGTTAATAGATTAAAAAACTGATTCATGTGATGCATTACGCAGAGCACAGATAGAAATACTGATTCAATGATTAAAATTATAGCTGTGAGTGTCAATAAATTACTGTGTCATAAGAAAGGAACGATGTACACGTGATATGAGATACCAATATCTCAATATCAAAAGGATAGTGTCTAGAAACATTCATAGTCCATGGTGGCAGGTATCAAGTTAAACGAAGTTACACTGACTGGCAATGTATACGATTGCCGTCTCCCTCTCTCACCCCTGACCGCTATCAGGGTGCTCCTGAGGATTGAGAATCTAATCCTGGTGCGCATGTAACACATAATAGCCGCATAGTCTTCTCCTCTCTTCTGGGATAGTTTTCAGCGAGTCTCTTGTGGTATCTTGTGGCTTGTGGACCCCATCCGCCATTTGTTGAGTATATAAGTGGGGTAAAGGCCTTTTTCCACCTGGATGATTCTGTTGTTGTACTTTTTCATTTTCCTCATTTCATGAGCTTTATAGATCTGTTCCATATCTTTTTTGTCATATGTGGGTGAGTTGGGGTGGGTAACACAGACATCAAAGAATGTTCGTTCAAATGTGCTACAGAGACCTCGTGAGGATACATCAGGTGCAGCTCTATCAGCATTGGTACCAACAATTTCTTCATTATCAAGGGGTATCAATGCTGGCTCAGTCACTACATCTCTGCATACTTCACGCTGCAGCTCTGCATTTAGATCGCGGATGTTGTTGTGTCTCATAGAAACATAGCCACCTTTCTTGCATATAAGTGTGTGATTCACATTATTTCTCTCTCCACAAGCACAGTGAAATGGGGTGTACGTGTTAGGGATCTCCCAACCATAACGCAAGTACAGAGCATCACGGAACTCAATCTTGTTCAGGGAGTAGCCAAATCTCTTCAATGGAAGTGCAGTAAGCCAACATCCTGAACCTTCCTCTTTGATGAACTGGAGAGATCTCTTTAGGTTGGGATCTCTTACACTGTCCTCTATTGATTTGCTAACCGTAAATAAGTGTTTCTCCTTGATTGCCTTGAGACTTTTTATAGTGTCATTTTGAATTGACATGTTGTAATGTTCAAGGGTGTTTTGCTGGTTGATAATCAGGTCTGTGAGGTCTTTTGTGATGGTGACTGAGGATGTGTAATTTAGTGTAAATTTCTGAAATGGTTAACCTTACAATTCGTAATTCGAGTACCTAGTCAAGGAACGAAAATAGCTACATCAGATTTTTAGATAAAGGTCAGATTTTGATCCTTTTTTTCATGTTCGTTTCTAGCAAATCTATTACATAATTCGGGCAACATTCGAGATAATATTCTTTTCTGTGCTTCACTGTGTCTGCCAACAAAATTGTAGTGTATGTCAGAAAAGGAAACTCTATCCTGAGTCACCAACAGAAGTTTTAACAAGAATTGAAGGTACCAGTTATGTCAGTAATAAGGAAAAACACAATGATTATCTTTGGTTTCATCCTTATGTAGCAAAGAAACTTTTAATAAAATCTTTACTCCACTGGGAAGTATGAATAAATTAAAATTTTTAAAATTTTTCTATTGTTGTTGTTATTCATGATTAATATTTGATAAGTTATTACTTTTAAATTTGATGAAGAAATAGTAACTGTATATTTTTCCATGTAGTGCGATGATACTTTGTAGACATAAGTGATGATGTTTTGTCATAAAGTAAGTACACCCTTTGTATTTTGTCTCAAGTACTAGAGCATCTTTTTCCACTCTGTTTGCACATCTTTTTCCACTCTGTTTATTTCTCTACTCGTATATTGCACAGATTTTCATAAATATCTTTTATCATCAGTTACTGTTCTGCAGTAAACTTTTTCAATCATTTTTATTGTATATTGGAGTATTCAGATTGTTTGTATATTTGTAGTTGTATAGAATTTTCATAGTAGAAATTTTAATATTTTAGAGATTTTCATCTTTTTTATCTTGAATATTATTTTGATAGGCTGATGAGTTTCACACTGAAATCTCTTGTGGTCATCATCCATTTTTCAAGTCCTCTGTTAGAAAACCTGCTAACCTTTCTTTGATATGTTCTTGTTAGGTGCATCTGCCTTATTTAGTCAGGATTTAATTTGCAGTTATAAACTTCTGTTTTCCTAATAGTTTCACCCCTGTCCAAGGCGAGATGCACAATCCCCACTGTCAATTAGGTATCATTTACAGCTGAGCATATAAGGGTTGAATTTAAATTATTTTACCTTTTGGTGCTGCATAAAAATAACATTAATTTATTATTGTTATTATTATAATGTGTGAAATCTGAGAAAGTTGTGTTTACCACCCCCCCTCTGGCCCTCAACCTTTTTGTGTTGTGATCCACAAGAATATTCTGGTAACTAATTGCAATATTTTTAGCAGGAGTAAAGCTGTCAAGCATGACAGAATCTGTGAAGTTCACATTCAAACGAAGATCAGAGAAACCCAAACTATTAAAGACTAAACAGAAAGATGAATCTGAGGAAACAGAGTATATATCAAGTAGTGCTGCATTATCTACCCACGTTAGTAAAAAGAAGAAAGAAAAGCTTGTTATTCATGGCTCTAAGAACTTGTGGCAACCTGGAAATGTTCAAGTAGATGACATAACAAAAGAGGCAATTAACCAAATACTTAGTGATCCAAATAGTGTAGCAGAAAAAGAGAAGAAACAAATAGAAGGATCAGCAAATGCAAATGACAAATCTTCACTTAAATTCCCTGGTGTTATACCACAGGAGGACTCTACTCTTGATGATTATAACGATGTTCCAATTACTGATTTTGGGGAAGCATTAATGAGAGGTATGGGTTGGGAAAAGGGAAAAGGAGTTGGACGTAATCGCAAGATTGTAGAGCCAGTAGATTTTGCAACTAAGAAGAGAACTCTTGGCGTGACAGTGCATGAAGAAGAGGCTGCTGAAGCTGAAAAATTATTTCACGACTTCAATTTGGGTGATTATATTGAAATAATTGGTGGACAAAATAAAGGTGAACATGCCAAAATATTGTCACTTTCATTAGAAACTTCAAGGTGCATTGTCAGAGTTCCATCTGAAGAAATGGTTGATTTAGCCATCATCAACATCAAGGCAGGTTCTAGGGAAGAATACTTGAAACAGCGTGATCAAAGTCAAAAAGATGATACTGATGTGTTTGTTGCTCCCGCAGCTAAAAGACACAAATCTGATAAAAAGGTGGTGACACCATCTCAAAATGGATCCTCCAATGAGATGAGCAGTAGAAATGCTTGGTTACATACAGATTTAAAAGTTAGAGTCGTCAGTCAAGACTTTTCTGAAGGGAAATATTATTGTAAAAAACTAGACATTGTTGATATCATTGATCCTTGGACTTGTATATGTCGCACAGAACGGGGAAAACTATTAGAAAACGTACCTCAGTCTATTCTAGAAACTGTTATACCAAAGAAAAAAGGTACCTTAGTAATGCTCTTATCGAAAAAGAATCGTTTTGAGTTAGCTGAACTTGAAGAAAAAGATTCTAAAACTGGTTCAGTTATCTGTGTGACATTGATTGAAAAAGATGTTGTATCTGCTTCGTATGACGAGGTTTGTCAATTTGTGGGGGATGCTTATAGGTAACAGCAAAATTATTCAGGTGTTGTAAATGACCTATTTAAAATTCAAAGCTGTGCTTTAACTGTATTATATTTAAATGACTTATTTATATTTTATAATCGTGCCATGTTTCTGATTGAAGCTAAATTATTCAGTATAATTAAACAAAATTTATCAACCAAGCCTGCGTCAATAATTTTCTAGACAGAACTTTCAACTTATAACAGTGATTCAGCATTCAGTTCACTTTATGTATCAAAGTTCAACTTGTTTTTACCAGATTAATGATTCAAACCACAAAATTCATTAATAAAGAGGCATAATTATTCTTTGCTCTTAGATGCGAAAACATGAACATTCATTTGTGTTTCGACATTTAAAAAAAAAACACAACTTTTGACAATTCAAATATGTTTGTATTATATTATTTAGAAAGTTGTTTATTGGTAACTGTTAACATTCACATTATTTTAGGGTAGCTGCAGACATGAACAGTCAAAACTTTCATCAGTCCTACAACCCTCAATCCTCGAGTGGACCTACAGCCGAACAATTAGCGGCTTTTCAAAAACAGCAACAAACGTTCCTACAGCAACAGCAGCAGTACATGATGCAGCAGCAGCAACTTCAGAAACAGATGATGCGTGAAGAACAGCGGAATCGTCTGAAAAATATGAATGTAAGAAGTATGGGGGTTTCCACTTTTCAGCAGCCTACATCCATGCAACAGCAACATCCTTCAAACTATCCTTCAAACTTTCCTGCTCCAAGCAATAACGGCTATCAAACAACTCCAAATTCGCAAACTAACCAGCAATATCCTTCAAACTATTCTCAAGTTCAGAATTTTCCACGAACTGCCATGAATCATCATCAGTCAATGAATCCTGTGCAATCGATGAATCCTATTCAATCAATGAATCCTATTCAATCAATGAATCCTGTTCAACCAATGAATCCTATGCATTCCATGTCATCTTTGCATTCAATGAATCCTGCGCAGTCAATGACTCCAGTGCAGTCAATGAATCCGGTGCAGTCAATGAATCTGGTGCAGTCAATGAATCCTGTGCAGTCAATGACTCCTGTGCAGTCAATGAATCCTGCACAGTCAATGAATCCTGTGCAGTCAATGAATCCGGTGCAGTCAATGACTCCGGTGCAGTCAATGACTCCGGTGCAGTCAATGAATCCGGTGCAGTCAATGACTCCAGTGCAGTCAATGAATCCGGTGCAGTCAATGACTCCTGTACAATCAATGACTCCTGTACAGTCAATGAATCCTGTGCAATTGATGTCTGCTGCACAACCCCAAATCACTCCATCTACCTCCAGTATGTGGAGTAATTCAATGCCCCAAGTTTCAGTACAGAACAGAACTGATTCCCATGCTCCTAGTTCAAATGTCGATTATGGAATATTCGGTGTTTCGACTAACAGCAGTTTGAGCGGTTTTACTGCTAACAACAAGACTGACGATATTTTTAGTGTTCCACCCACAAGCTTTCAGTCTAGTGTAAGTGTATTTGATAGGAAAGAGGAGCCGTCCAATACATTCGTCCGAGCTGACTCAGATGATTTTGGTGATTTTGCATCAACAGGCGAAAGTTTTTCTGCTCCAGAACCAAGTAGTACAGCTCACAACCACCTAGATATATTTCAGTCAAGCACTTCAACTAATGTTAGCTTCAGTGGTAGTTCCAACCTCCAAGGTATGTTTCAGTCAGACACATCACTCGCTCTGACTCCTTCTGCCAGCCCCAGAATGGAGGTTAGTGCTCCCCAAACACTGAATCATCAGAATATGTTTCAATCTAATACATCTGCCAGCCTGACTCCAGCAACTGGTACTATCTCTAATCTTATGCAGTCTGATCTGTTTTCTAGTGCAAATTCGTTCAAGGGGAATGATTCTTATACTGAGACGGTATCAAGTTTTTCTAAGCCTATATTCGCTACTGAAAACCATGTTCCGTCTATACAAAGCAGCTCGTCATTTTCAACATCTGAAAACAACCAGGATGATTTCGATGAGTTTGACGATTTTCAAACAGCAGTTCCAGAATCAACACCTGCTGTAAGTACTAATTTGGCGTCCACCTTTTCCCAGCTAGATAAAAAATCACAACAGGCCTATGTCCCTGGATCATTGACCAATGAAGACGCTGATGTAGTTTACTCAGTTGCAATATTTTCCAACCCGATAAAAGTGGAAAACACAACAAAATCAAACGTTTCCGAGTTTGATAATCTGATTAACAAATCACTGAGTGGAAAAGCAACAAAATCGAACGTGAAATCATTGTTTAAACCTGCCCAAAAGCCCTCGATTCCATCCATGAAGTCAACTGCTACGCCCTCTGAAAAAGCTGCTGACTGGGGTTCACTCGATCTAGGCAATGCATTTCAAATTCCTGATCAGGAAGAGGATGACGATTTTGGTGATTTTTCATCGAAAGTACCCGAAACTGAAACTGTTCCCCAAAATGATATCTTAAACATGGCTGCTTCGTTACCTACGGTATCCCATTCATCTGAATCACCCACTGATGACTTGTTTTCATTGTTTAGCTCCTCAAAACCAAGTGGACGTTATGACAAAGTACCTTACATCTCAGAGGGCACCCAGGATCCAGCAGAGATGAAAGTAGGAATTAAAGAGTTGCTTGGGATCACCACCCCAAAACCCGAACCTAAAAAAGAAAGTAATTCTATCCTTAATATGTTTGGTAGTAACAATCTTGCTTCGGTAAGTCAGGGCAAAAAGTCAGAGCCTACTGAGCAGGATTGGACCGACTTTACGACCACACCAGTTGCAGTGGTTGACCACTCACTAAATTCTAGTGTACCTGCGATTGATCTAGCGCCACCTGTTAAAACGAATCCATCCAACTTGAACATGACCAAAATACCCTCTATATATAAAGATATCATCGCCTTTTGCAACACTCCAAGCGGTATTATTGATGTCGGGAAGATTTATGAGATTTTGCTGACAGATAAGTTCAAAGTGGTCGCTCTGCAACCTTTGATGAGTCAGTGTAAGATGATGGGAAGCCCGACTGCTAAAGATCTTGTTGATTTGCTTGGAATTGTTGCACTAAAGCAGAAAGGATTCCCAACACCATCGAAATATGAACTGAACTATCAGAAGCTATCAATACCATCGATAAATATGTCTGTTTTGAAGAAGAACAAGTCCAACCAAAAGGAAAGTAAAAGTGAGCAGCCAACTTTACTCTCTTTTGTGAGCCAGGATGCCGAGAAGAAGGTGCCAGCACTAGCACCTGTTTTCGATTTTGGCATGTCTTCCACCAAAGATCTCTCGTGTGCACCATTTGCTGGACCACAAACGAATAATAACGGAATGCTTCCAACTGATTTGTCTGCAAACAACGATGACGATGACTGGGGTGATTTTGGAGAGGTTAGTGAACCAGCTAAAAGTACCAACTTTTCCTGGGACAATAACCAAGTTGCTGACTTTGCACCCTCTACGAAGAGTAGTCCTGTGGTAGATCTGCTAAATATGCCTATTGTTGTCTCTACTAAGAGCAATCCTGTCGTCGATTTGCTGAACATGCCTGGTCTTCCTGTACGAACTTCTTCCTTAACAGTGAGTCTGCCTAAACCTCGATCAGCAGCCCCTTTGAAGCTGGATGAACCTCCGCCCTTATCAGACGAGGATGATGAAGACTGGGCAGACTTTGCACATCCTGCTCACAAATGGGATATTGACCCCGATGATATTGAGGAACAAGCTGTCAATAATACTGCATCTAAAAACAGGTGGGGCACTATCTCCATTTCATCAGATAAAGGCACAGGTATTGACAATTATCATGATAAGGATTATAGTCATGTTAAAGTTGAAGATGTGGAGGACACTAAAGCTGAACAGCCCAACTTTTTTGCTGCGAACCTTTCTTCTATTTCAGTTGCCAAAATGGATGTTGCAATGTCTGATGTTCGTTCCAAGTTTGATGTACCATCCCCAGCAACAACAAATAACTCAAATAAAGATAAACTTGTCTTCGAGAAGGAAGTTGTGTTTGCTGATGAAACCACGACAAAGAAAAACGTTGTTCAAAAAGATCTAGACAAGCTCGCCTCTCCTGATGCAGATCTTGGACAGTTTGTGTCGCCTTTTGCTGATTTGACTGATTCAAATCCGCAACCATTCGATGCAGTTTTCATGAAGTCTGTAGAAAAGAAAAAGTTCGATAACGTTTTCGTCATCTCTGCAGGAGCTTTTGATTCTGGTAACAACAAGGACGAATCAGCAGCTTCTAATTTTGACTCACCATTCGCCGACTTCAACAATAACACAGCTAAAGCAATAACCGAGTCTGGTGACTTTGGTAATTTCACCACTTCTGGTGATGCTGAAACTGGTGAAAAAGATAGCCAAGAACCCGAATCATTTGTTCCTGCTTTTGCAGATTTCGGGAGCCCGTCAGACGACGAAGACGAGTTTGCTGACTTTTGTGGCACTGCTGAGGATAATGACTCAACAAAAGATACTCTGACTGAATCATTGAAACTCACTAACCTCCCGAAGAAAGACCTTGACGGATTTTGGAATGACATGGTTGATGGTCTTGGCTCTAAGACTGACAGTGTCCCTGTATTTGATTTAAACGAGGAAGCTCCTAAAAAAGTGTCTAAGCCTGTCGATGTTACAGCGTTCGTTCCTACAGTTCAACATCCCGTCAGCTATGATGCCTTAAAAGGGGAATCATTTGACAATGAAGAAGACAGAATAGGGGCTTGGAGTAAGAGCTTATCAATGATTCTGACGATTCTTATACATTGTCAATCTCTGTTAGGAGCTTCAAAGGTTCCGTTAGTAAAACAAGAGGTGGTTGATTCAGAGAAAGGAAAGTTGTACCTGGACTGTTGCACTGAAGTGTTCAGAGTTGCCTGTAGAATAAGTCTAGCAGGTGCCTTTGACGATGGAATCGTCGAAATATTCAAAGAAATCAAACACACTTGGACCCTTATATCAGAAATGTTGGACGACAGTATTGATTTACCAACTATTCGCGATTTCAATATCCGCCCAGCTAAAACTGAGGACGAATTTTCTGGTAGGAATTGTGGAATATGTTTGTTAGACACGGGTGTTGAGAGTAAAACCAGCAAATTGCAATATAACGGGGTTTTTTACCATGTGACTTGTGCTAATTTCTGGGTGAATTCTGTTAGTCCGTTACTTCCTGATCTGAATAGTAAATTGGAGGCTCCGCTTTTATAGCACCTTTCGGAATTATTTTTTTATAATTTCACATTTTAGCAAGATTCAAACTGTATGTAAAATATCAAATACGAAAAGTGTTTAAGGTTTCAGAAATTGCATAGCTATAGATTTGTATGCTACTTTTGTATCATGATTTCGTAAAAAAGGATCTCGGTTTCTTATTATTTGACAGATATTCAAGTTTGATGTTTAGGAATTAGGATTAGTTGTATTTTGTTCGGCTGTAAATAAAGCACAGAATTCCGAAACAGCAGTGTGCTTTGATTCGATATCAATGATTATTACTTAGCAGTTCCAGAATTATTTGCATGACTTTGACTTTAATTTCTATTAATTTCTGATGCCGCTATGAATATGCACAGTGTAATTTCGACAGGTTTTCCACTATATAAAGGTTTTCTTCCATATCATTCTTAAATTTGTAATGATTTAATCTATAGCTTTTATTGAGCTTACCTCTGAAAACCCACAGCAAGTGAGTTGATCATTTTTCGTTTTTTAAAACATCTGGTTTATTGAAGTCTATTAAATGATAATAAGACAATTATATACAGTCTTCCAGTAGTCAGTTTTCATTTTTTACTTTACAGTTTTAAAGAATGAAGATATACTGTAATGTTGCCTGCTATATCTTGTGAATGCAATGCAAGCAGAATTTAATACGATCAGCAAAACACTTAATAGACGACTAAAAAATGTAATTTTTGTAAATCGAGGTTAATGTTAATGTTTTTTTCAGGTTTTTGGTCAAGATTTTACTGTTACTGTATCATCATTGTTTCACTGTTTGCTCTTCTTGTCCCAAACAAATAAATAGAATTTCAAATTAGATTCCATGATCATTCTATATGTTACAGAATTTGGCATTCGATGTCATGTCAACTCAATGAACATTTCATATTTGCAATTTATCAATTATATATAACTTCCCCAAAATCTGTCAGTATCTAATAATATGACACTTCATTAAATTATCTCAGAATGCCAAATGATTGCTGTTGGGAGCAAATCCACTGATACTTGTGACAGAAACATGGAAGCAGAATCCAACGAGGAAGATAAGCGTTTCATTTACTTCAACCCTAACTTTTGTATAAACAACATAAATGTCAAGGAGTTAGTCCTTCGAGCAGAACAAGCTGCCAGCGTTTCTAAAGCACCAGACACATCAGCTCAGACAAATCAGAATACTTTGTCTCTCACTGGTAATCAAAACAATCCATTTAGTTCTCCTCCAGCAGTACCTGCTTTCACCTCCGAATCTGTAAGAAATAACCCAGCCCCAGCCTTTCCAGGACCTTCTGATAACCTGCCTGCTAAGAAACGAGTTGTTCTCCTCCCCACTCCTAAACCTAATACTTTCAAGATACCCCCGCCCAGACACCTTAACAAGGGTCCGGTTCCAGCACCAAGTTGGATCAAGGACAATCCCTTCTATGCAAAAGACATTGATTGGAATGACAGAGACCATCCATGGTACCATCGCGATCCAAATTATGTTAGCAATCTGTTAAATCTTGCTGCAGACTATGCAAAGCGGCCTAACGAAATGCCGAGATGTCGGATGCCTCCACTATCTAAAAGAGAGCTATTATTCCGAATGGAAAAAGAACACAAACATGGGAAATTGCTTTCATCCTTGGTACCTTGTGCTGTCGAAAAGTTCATTAGATACATGAATGTGGTGAAAGATCAGATTGATTTCGATATGCTCAGAATTGATTATTCCAAAAATCAGTCATATTCAGAATGCAGGAGGAAGCGATCAATGATGAAAGCATTGGGTGTCAATAAGTTCCATTATGTTAATGAAAAAGCTGCTGATGAGTTATTTGCTAGGAGTCAGAATTTAAAGGGCTTTAAAAAACAAATCAGAAAAGATCTGGACCTCTCAAAACTGGACACTTCTAAACTTACAGTTGGTCAAAGAAGATTCTTGTTCAAGCATCATGTCCTGAAACAGGGTAAAACAGTTTATGTGAACCCAGATAAGGATAAAACCCCTAGCTCTAGCTCCTCCTCTAGTTCTCCTCTTGTAGCTGTCAATAAGTTTAAAGCAGTTTCCAAAGCAAGCCTTGTCCCAACTAAGAACCGGAAACTACGCCTGTCACTCCGCTACAGAAGGTCTGATGAACCCATTCTTCAAGACTGCAGATTCTACATAAAAACTGGGAAGTGCAAGTTTGGTGTTCGCTGTATCAGAAAGCATGATCCATCCAAACTTCCTACGAGATTAAAGAAAGCGGCTGCAAGGAAGATGCCCAAGTCGTCGTTTAGTGTGAACAATATTCCTAAACTTCCGAGACGGCCATACAGTTCACTGCCCCCACCGCCACCATTAATACCAATCTCTGAATTAAAGTTATCAAAACTTCCGGTTGTAAACCTGTCTAAGAAACCACCCTCCAGTGCTTCAGTTCCCTCTTCAAGCACTGCTTCACCTCCGACTACAAATCCTGGTCATGTGACCGCTCCAGCCGCCAGTCCTTCTCCTCGCAATTCAAACTACAGATTTATCAACAACCCCAAACTGGGCCCCACTAAAGTAGGCCTCAATAAAAAACTGGTAAATCGCGCTCTCAAGTGGAAGAGGAAGACGGCCACGAGAAGAAAGCAGGACTGCATGTTTTTTATCCGACGGGGAAAGTGTGCGTTTGGTGAGGAGTGTAGGAAGAGACATGATCCTGCTAAAGTCACCCTGTGTAACCACTTTATCTTCTACAACCGTTGCAACAACTCTCAGTGTCCCTTCCAGCATAAGGTATGTTCCTTCATTTTACTGTTATTTAGAATATATATTCGCATGTATCCACACTATATTTACATTACACGTTCAACGTGATATCATTATCAGTGCAGTGTGTACATCACCAACTACACCGATCAATTGCCAATCTGCGAAACATTTAATTATTATTATCACTTCGAGATGGCAGGGCCTACTCTCATGCTGTCTACTCAATTGGTAGAGCAAGACACGCGAAATGTCGAGGTTCTGGGATCATTCCCCAGTTGTCCCTAGTTTTTCAGAATCAATCATCACCTATAGACAGCATGAGAGTAGGCCCTGCCATCTCGAAGTGACTTCATTTTACTGTTCAATATTTAACTAATCTAAGTAAACTATAGGTAAAAATATAATATTAATCATAAGCTAAAATGTACTAATCTTTGTATTCTAAATGGGGAAAAAGAAGAAACATTGTCAGTCAGTCGAGAAAATTGTCAGTCAGGCTATATGGCAGCTTTGTAGATGTTGTGACTATGCTAGTAGTGGTCCCAGGCTTGCGACTGGAATTGCGGTGTTAAATCGATTTAATGGTACCAACGATCCACCTCCCACTTGTTGTTTGGTACTTAGCATTAATAGTGTTAGCTGTAGCCATTTATAGCAAGAATCTTAAAACTAAAGGGGATGACAAGGAAAAGAGGAAGGAAAAAGAATAACGGGACAAACAATTAATTAAAGTATTTATAGGAGCATTAGATATTGTAATTACAAGCTTCAATAATAAATCACTGACTAAAACTTCTAATTAAAATGACACTTGGTACGCTCGCCCATTTTCACTGGTCAGTCTGAACTTCGGTTTAGCACGTTGTACACTTATTCACCTAAGATTCAGAATTTGTTCAGTTTAGCAGAGTTAGTACCCGTGTTTCAATAAATCAAAAGATATCAGGGGAGTTCTTTAATAATGTTACGGTCATCTAGAATACCGAACTTCCTGAAAACGTTATCATATTTCCTCAGACAACGTTTAATGCCTTTAATCAGTCTATCACGGCTATATCCTCTATCAATTAGAATTTTGAATATTTTGTGAAGATGGGAGGTAAAGATATCCAATCTAGTGCAAACATTACCATATCTAAGAACTTGACTTGAAAAAACGTTGTAGCCAACCTCGGTTGGGATGTTACTGTGAGGAAATGTAAGGGATACAACATGAAAATTAAAATCATCAGTTTTGTTATACACTGATATTTCTAGTCCTTCTGTGGAAATATTAATATTTAAATCAAGGTAGTTAATGATTTTATTATTGGAACCAGCTCGCTCCATCTCCAATGAATTAGGATAAATATCTTTAATCAATTTATGAAAGTAATGGTAGTTAATAATAGATAAATCGTCAACATATCGTTTATTATTGGATAATATCTTTGCTAATCCCATTTTCTTTTCCTGAAGTAAACGTTTCATATAATTAAATTCCTTTTTGCCAACAGTGAGATCAGCTATAGGGGAACTTGAATTTCCACCCATAGGAATACCCTTGGTTTGTATGAATACAATCCCACCGAAGACGACATAAGTGTTATAAATAATAAATTTAACAGCCTCTTTTAGGTCATCTTGACTAAAGCAGGCATGACAATCATAGGTTTTATTGGAAAAGAAACATGTATTACTGTCTCTTTTAGAAATACAAATATATCTAATATCTATTACGGTCTGAAAATATTAAATCAACAACTTCATTAATCATATTCTCTACTTCAATCAAGTCTAATCTGGTATAAAGAGTAGTAAAATCATATACTTGTATATTATAAACATCGCTATTTTTGATAGCTTCAAGGAATTCACTTGAGGAATCTATGCTCCAAAACATGTTTGTACCGCTGTTGTTGTAGATTGCCTCGCAGTATTTCTTGAAGTATTTCCTCAAAAGTTTCAGACAACAGTTAACTTGGACGTTAAGTTGTTTCGTAACGCAAAAACGGGCACCTGCAATGAACCTCGCCTTGTAAGGGTTCTTATGAAGCTTAGGGTTCCAGAAGATGCGTGCTAGTCGCAAGTTTTTATCTTCAACTTGTACATTAAATCTTAACAATTCCTTCACTCTACAGTTCAACATTTAACTTAACATAAAATCTTTGCATTATAACACATGTTTGTTTGGGGACCGGTTTTTGGTACCCGGCCAATGTTTACAAAATAATATAATACATAACAATATAATTTTATTTAATATGCGTGAATATGAAAATTGAAAATGTTGATTACGTCTATTCATTAAAAACAAAAACAGAAACTTTAAAAATTAAAACTTGTATATCATGATTTATTAACATATAGTGACAAATAATTTGATTTGATACGACAGATGATCACACGCACTGTTTTATAAGCTACTTGAGGTTAAAACAAAAAAGAATAACTGAGCCCATGTCTTATCAGCACCTGCTAGCGCTATCTATATGATGCTATTAATATGACAGTGAATGGGCAGTGAAAAAAGTGGCATATGGTTGATAGTGACTAGTGTGCTAACCGTCTGGTTTTATTTATTCCTTAGTTTATTCTCGGTAGTTGATTTGTTGTGTGCCTGATCTTGTCGATTTACGTAGCCCGGGTAAATTATGTAACAGAAAAGGTGGCCATTCTTCATCGTTTCCTGAGCTTTGTAGTTCTATCATTACACACTTCGCTGATTTCTTATATATGCTTATTGAGAAAATGCTAGATGGGCAAGTTATGCGACTAATGTTGTGCTCGGTAATAGCTAATATAGGACCTTTATACAGAACACTAGCGCGTAGATCTGGTTGAGAGAACGTTGTTAGCCAGTCGATATTGTCGTCATAAGACGTGCCATACTTTGGTATATCGGGAGGAAATAAGTCTTTTATCGACGACGGCAGAAGGCCAGGCATGTAAGTTATCTTGTGCATCAGAGTCAGAGCATTTTTTATGATGACCCCGTGTACAGATAATATTTCGTACTCTTTAAACGTAGTTTTAGTATGATCCGGAAGCTTACCGTCCTTGTAATAGTAATTCACGTAGCCCGGCATAACTGCTCGTATTCCCTGCTTTTGTTTAGTGAACAGTGATTCAATATGGGATTTTGCAGCAAAGCCCCAAACTAGTGAACAGAAATTTAAGTGAGATTGTACAAAACTTTGGAAGATCTGTAAGCGTGCTTTGATTGGTAATTTGCGTTTTATTTTGAACATAATACCTATAAACCGTGACATTTTTGTTTTGACGGCTCGGATGTGGCTGGCCCATTTTAGTTTGTCGTCGACGATAACTCCTAAAAACCTGGCCTCCGTTTTGCGTTCTATAGGAGAGTTGTCGATACTTACTTGTAGAGACGATAGATCTACCCGTCTTTTTGAAAATACCATATAGCAAGTCTTCTTCAGATTATGAGCTTGGCCGTTCGAGTTAACCCATTTTATCAACACGTCAGTGAGGTGGTTTCTTTGGATATAATGTCTTGTACATTTGATCCGGTGATAACAATGTTTGCGTCGTCTGCGTATAATATAAATTTAGCTAGGTTACTGATTCCTGGTAAGTCATTGATATATATGACAAAGAGCAGGGGGCCTAATATGCTCCCTTGTGGAACACCGTATATCATAGATTCTAATGATGAATTGGAGCCGTTTAGGGAAACAAATTGACTGCGACCACTGAGGTATGACTCGAACCATTTCAACGCAATGCCACGAATACCGTAATGCTCAAGTTTCCTGAGTAATGTCGCGTGATCTAGGACGTCAAATGCCTTGCTATAGTCTAAAAGTAATAAAAGTGCTATTTGGTTCTTATTTAGAGAATGCAGAATAGAGCTCTGAGCATTGAGAAGTGCGTGCTCACATGATCTTCCTGGTCGGAATCCGTACTGATTCTCGAATAGAGAGTTATTCTTGTCGAGAAATTCTAAAAACATACACTCTGCTGTTGATTTACTGAATTATTTAGCTCTCATAATATCCAATCAATTATCCTACTATCACAGCTGATAAAGGAGAAGATGCCGCTCTGTCTATACTTCTACGCTAACAAGTGCTCCAAAGAAGACTGTCCGTTTCTACACGTTAAATTGGGTATTGATGTACCTGTCTGTGAGAAGTTTACTGCTGTAAGTAGTTCAGAACCATTTAAAGTCGATTTAATCATTGTTTTGTTAAATATTATTATCCCTTTTATTTCTTCCTTCTCTTACTATATATAAAGTGAGACGATATATTTATAATAGGCATATATGTTGCCATTTTACTGACACCACGACATCAACTTTAACACAACTTTCCGCGAAAACCGCGAGATATATACGGGTCTTATGCTTTTATATGGGTTTTATGTCTTTTTGACCAGTATGAAGAAATAAAAAATAAAAAATTGGCCAAGGAATAAAAACTTAAGGTTCCAAAATTTGGACCAGCAAGTGGTGTCAAAATCGCAAAATAGATAAATATTGTTGACTCTTGACACCACTTTAGCCCTTTAGGGTTTGAACAGGTTCCTGCTAGTACTTCTAATAAATAATCTCTAATATATAAACTTGTAAAGGATTTGATGCTTTTGGGACCTGATAAATTAGAACACCTAGTTTATGTAAAATATTCAAATCATGACTACATTGAATATTGATACACCCTAATCACACGCTCATAATATGTTGTAATCATATTACATATTATGTAACATAATGAATGTAAAATGTTTCTCTATACAGTATGAGTTCCGTTGGCTATAATTTCCAGCACATAATGAGCGGTCATAAAGACTGAAATTCAAGAAATGTGAAGGCAGTGGAACTGTCTAATATTTGTTCAGTCGGCTGCAAAAATCACATAATATTTCATTTGCTGTCTGGATTTTGATAACCATCCGTTAACCATTACCAAATCTAGGTGGTAGAATTATTTTTAAAATTTAGTTTATCAGTAAAGGTTCTTAACAGATAAGAACTTTGTAGGGTCACCTTACTTTGTAAATGGCTACTGGCCTACTGGACACACCCAATTTGGACAACTGCTTGGGAACATAAGTAGGGAACCCTAATTATGGTTCCCTAATTATAAGTAGGGAACCTAATTATAATTAGGGAACCATAATTAGGGAACCTAAATATAAACCCAATCAGTCTACCTAGTTAACCTAGTTAGACTGCAACCTAGTTGAACTGTCAACTTCGTTTAATGAGTCACGTGATACAGGGTCACTGTGAGAAAGGAACTAACTGTACAAAGCGACACACACGTGACTGTGAAACTCACTTCACCACTGGTTTCTGTCTGGACACTGAGTGCACCTTGCTACACCAGAAGATACTCAGGACCCGGACTTACTCTTTTAGCTCCAGTTAGTATCCCATGTTAAGATCTTTTGTTGTTCTGGGCTCGCTGTAAACTGACTTCTAAGAACAGATAAACTGCGACTGATTGCTTAAGTAATGCGCTAATCTTTCGAGCTGTTCGTTAAACTGTACCTATAAAATGGGTAAATGGTTGAAATCCTTTCGAGCGGTAGTAAATTTCATGAATGTGATGCGGTGTGATGAATCACTTATTTCAATATTACATTCCTGTGATTAATCCTTGATAGCTTCAGGGACTGAGGTATGAGTTTATTATTTTTATGCTTTCTCTCATAGTTCAAATCGACAAAAAGAATGCTGACTCTGCTTGATTTCTGCCAATTTCATAGCTAGATCTGTCAAATAAAACAAATAAATGCGTGTAAATTGTTCCATATAAAGTAAGATCTTTACAATTTACGATTCACAATGTTATTCGTTGTGGTGGCCTCTGTTCAGTGCAATTAAGCGGTTAGTAGTGCACTGCTCCGTGCAGTGTGCACAGGTCAGCGCATCAGTGCAGCGCTCTTCACGTAGCGCTTCAGTCATCGCACAATGTGCCTAGATCATATCTCTTCTGAGTGGAGTTGGGTTAAAAACATATAAGAGATACGATGATTTAACTTGTAGAAGCTTTCAATAAACATGTGTTAATCGTCGTCAGCTGAATGTGATGTGGTGGACAATGCTTATATGTGATTGAGTGGTGTCAGGGATGGAGGGTGGGGGAGGTGTGGGTGGGAAAGTGAAAATTACAGTACAATGTCAATAAAAATTTAGTCTTCTGTTGAGGTTGAGAAGGAAATGCCAGATGGTCTGGACTTTAAGGATTTGGCAATTTTAGGAAGAATGGGGTCCCAGAGGGAACTACATTTGGGTGCGCGGTCTGTTCTGTTCATAGCTGGTTGTCGTATTTGTATAGCTGCGTGTTCTGTGAGGTCAAGTTGGGAGCGTGAGGTGAGGGATTTGAGGACTTCAATATTGTTCCAGGAGATGGTGTGGCCGGTGGTCAGGGCATGATGTGCAGGGGCTGATTTGATTCTGTCTGTGGATTCGTCGATGGCGTTGTTGAGTCTGTAACATTCTCTTCCTACAGTTGACAATGCAATGGACGTGGATAGACCCTACTTTGATGGAGATGATTTTATTCCTATCGGACTTGGCAGGATTGAGGACAACGCCTCTCCAGGTTACTTATAGTTTAATTAATTATATAATGGAGGTAATTATATAATATGGAGTAATTATATAATAGGTTGTTTGACGATTCAATGAATTTAACGTAACTTTTTCAGTACTTTAGTGGAAATTTCATGTTTTAAAAAAACCCATCATCACAATAATATGGAGTATTTTTTGGGATTTTCTATAATATTACAGTTCATCTCAGATATTCTGAAAATGTTGGATTCTGACGTGGAGTCCATTGCTGGATCACTAGCCGAATGTGATTCTTTAGACTGATGGAATACGAACGGTGAAGCAGCTTGGAACCTCAAATGTCTTATAGGTACTCAATGCAACGTTGTACTGGATGCACATTGCACGTGCAAAGTATGGTAGTCCCTACGAGTCAAGTAAGTCTTCATTGTAGTGTACAATGTATTTATATTGGTGTGTCATAGTACCATCTTCAGAAAATTCAGGGTGAAGCGGTTCTCTCTGAATATGACTATGTTTGAAAATGAATACTGTTCAGTGTTCACTGCTGATGCATTATCTAAAATCCAATAATTTCTACTTCATTAAAGCTATTTTGGAGGGTCAGCTGTAATTCATGTTGCAATGTAATTAAATATTTATATGGTTCCACGTCCTGTACGACTAATGGTACCACCGCCCGCCTCCAAGTTCTAAATTAAGCTTTCATCTGCGCCACTCCCAATTCTTCATTTTCTTTGCTGTTACCATTTCCATCCGACGAGCTCATTATTTAGTTCTCCATATAATACATCAAAGCTGTAAGGATCGTTTTATTATGCTGCATGTTTCCCTTCTACCATATTTTGAGGGTATTTCTCAATGTGCTGTCTTCAGTCTTTGTTTTTTTAACAAGTCATATTCGCTCAGAGGGAATTTCTATAATCACCTGATTAGTATTTATCTTGTTTTTTTATTCAGAAAAAGACTGTTTTAATGTTTTTAAAGTAAAGTTACTTTATTTTTATCAGTATCATCTAAAATAAGACATTCAAATGCTGTCGCCAAGCTTTCATTAATAAAGCAAGAAAAAAAGGAAAAAAAAGTTTAAATATTACAAGATTATCTGAACTCAAGATACGTAAGATTATTGTAAATTTCATTTCATACTATCTTTTTGCAATAATATCTGGTGTTTTATTGCTTCATTGCTTCAACGAACCTATACAACTCATGTTTGGTGCTGTTATTGGGTTTCAATTTTTTATGGCATGAAATATTATTCAATGGCATGAAATATTATTCAAGATATATATATTGCTAATTGGAAGATAATTTCAAATGATTGATCGATAATCACATCCTAATCGACCACTTTTTGTAGCATGTTCAGTTTACACATGTTACGATGGGTAGAGTTGTAACTAGAAGTCAAGAAAAGGCTGGCTCTAATAGTCAGGTATGTGCTCCTTCATAATATCTTGTTTGTTTTCGTTTTGCTTCATTCAACTTCTACCATATTTTGTATATTGTGTCACTCTCAAATAAACTACATCGTAGTCGATAGTATTTTGTTTCAAAATCCAAACAGTAGAAATGTAAACTTTTAAACTTCCAGATATTACAGACACAGTCGTCGGTCATTTGATCGATGATCAAGGTTGAAACTTTTAACTGTAATCTTAATCATGTTTAAATTGTCGTATACATTTATCAATTACGTCATGCGATGAACATCGATTACACCCAGGAAATAGCCAGCAGAGGAGTAAAGACTAACTCTGAGCAAACTTTGTCTAGCACCCAGAACGGTAGAATTTCTAAGAAGAAGAAGAAACGCTCCATGTCGAAAAGAGATAGGTTAGTTCTATTGTTATTTGTTATTGTGTGTAAAATATGTCAATAAGAGCGGATAGCATGCCACGTTGAAACGATGTGTAATAGTTACCTAACTCGTCGAACAGCAAACAAATCACTGAACTGAGTCGCAGATCGCCTTCAGGGAGGGGAGGCCTAACTTGTAAGTCTACCTACCAAACACGGAATGTATGTGAACTATTATTAGTGTCCATACCAACTCACACCGAGTTAGAATGTGGTCCCGGTGCAGAGGGTGCCAGAGATGTATGGAACGCGCGGATTTGCTTTTTCAGCACTCTACATTTTTTCTAAAATTGTTAGTAAAATCCAACAAGAAAGCATTTACTATAGCAGTTTTGTGTCGCGCGCGCGCAATGACAATCTTGGTCAGTTTGACTGCTCATTATTATACACCGGTAACGTAGATCGACGTGACACCTGCGATACCATTGAATACAGAACAATCAAATCAGCAAGTTAGCAATCAACAAATGTAACTTTATGAGGTGTATAATCGCCCTAACCGCAGCACGGGGTCCAATCTAGACGTGTCAGTTCTGTCGCTGGACGACACCGAAACATTTTCTCAAGAAGCTAGTACCAGCAAACAGGCCTCTTCATCCTTCGAGTTTTCACCAACTGAGCCGACAACTTGTGCTGATATCAATTCTCAACCTCTGTCCCCTAAATCTGGTGAGCTTACCTCGTGTTTTAAAATGTACTATAAATTGAGAGTTGTCATTTCTATCTCTGTTGGCAATGGGATATACCATGATTGGATAGTCTGAACTCTGAAGCAATGTGTTGAATCTGGAACATCCTGCTAAAAATAACTCTGTATCCTCACAGATAAGCCGGAGTGTTCGATATGTTTGCAAACAGCACTACAACCTGTCAAGCTACCCTGTAATCATATCTTCTGCTTCCTCTGCATCAAGGTATGCGAACAGTCAATTGCTATATTTACATCCATTTTAATGGTAACATGTATAATTTGATTAAGCTTGTCATATGTACATATTTACTTGTTACTTCCGTAAAATCGTATGTTTTTGTAACACTATCACGAACTAATTTATCGTGTAGGGAGCGGTGCACAACGGTACAAACTCATGTGCATTATGCAGAGCACCTCTACCGAGGAACTATATATTACACCCGGAGGTAATCAATGAATCTTCAAGTTCTGAAGATAATTCTCTTGAGGAGGTTGCCGATGATAAGTGGTATTACGAAGGTAAGAAGCCTTCTTACATTTACCTGTTCGTTATACAATACTACTAGCCTGTCATAAAACTTATTTTCCGGTGTTAGGTTTCATTCTTATTACTGATACACTATTAGTATAGGAGTCATTTACATATTAACTGACATTAAAAATGGAAACTCAGAATCTCGTCCGCTTTTCAGTTTTCTGGTACTAATTAGATATTTTGCAGGTAGAAATGGAGGGTGGTGGGAGTTTGATGTCAGAACTGCTCAGCAAATAGAAGACAAATATAACGAGCCAGCAAGTGACGAACCCAAAATATTAGAACTTATGATCGCAGGATTCATCTTCATCATCGACCTTGATGCTATGGTAAGTCCAAAAGAATAATAGTATATGTGTAAGTGTAACAAAATCTACAAGTAATTCACATATATAGGTAGTTTTTAAGGTACGTAATCGCACCAATTGCAATAATTATCGCATTGCAGTGCCAGAGAAGAAAAGATAACCCGCACATCCAGCGCCGACTCAAGAGAGATAAGCAGATAGCAGATAAAAAGGGCGTGGCAGGAATTGTGAAACCAAGACGGCATAACAACAGCAGATCACGTGGCGGCACCCCTGTCTGAAAGTAAAATTTATAAACAACTTTTATCAACCTCGCTGTTTAGTGTAGTTTCAGAACTGCTGATCCAGACATTTCGTTATTAATTTATTTCTGTATATTACAACTAATTTGACTGGAAGCCTTTTTATCACGATTTTACCCAAAATTAAATATCTTTTAAACCTAATAAGTTATTAGTAATAACTCTATCATTTTGTATGCTTTCATTCATTTTAGTTTTTACGTCATTGTAGTTAATAATTATTCATGGTGAAATTTGGTTTGTAAAATTGTTTATTTTTGTATTAGTTTACCCTGACTCGTCCACGCAAAGCAGAATGTAAATATAGATTATTTTAAATTCGGTGATTGACGTCGACTAGTTTTATATTGCAACAGCATCGAGAGATTCGGAACTCCTTATCGTATTGGTGTGTATAGTATGGTGTTTTTAGTTTTTAATTAATCGGATTGTAGAAGTTAAAATAACGCTATTTACTGGTAGTGGTATTTTTGTTAGATTTATTTATTTAGGATTTATCTAATTTTGGAAGCTAGAATTACGCTATCAAGTTCCTTATCGGTTTTGAGATGCACAGTTTTTGTCATTATTAGATTTCCCAAAAAATTTACAAATTATCACAAACATTACGTATGGTGTGTTACTTCAACTTTTTTGAAAATTACATCGGAAATCTTTCTTTTAATTTTGGACTGTACCGCTCATTAACAGCATCCATGCTAATCGTATAACTAGAATGTAATGAAATTTTAACACTTTTGTATTCACTCTCCACTAACATTTTAGATGATGGCCGCTGCCGAAGATCACTCAAATGAACTTTCTGAAAAAAATCCTGTCAAAGCTCCAGTTCTCTCAGAAGATAAAACTACAGAATCTAAAACTGGTGATGACAACTGCCCATCCTTTAACCCTGTAACCTCGCCTTCAGAGCATGTTGTTGATGAACCTACTGTTCCTCCTACAGACACAATCTCTAAAGAAGACTCCAGTACCCTTCCTCAGAAAGATAAATCTCACAACAATGACACTGAAATTTCTGCCACTAATTTAACTACGGATATTACAGAAAAATGTAAAGATTCCCTGTTCGATGAAAGTGAACTATCAGAAACAAACGTTGTGCTGAACAGCCCAGCTTCAGATTCAAAATTAAGTGTTAATTTTAATAGTGATAGGGATGAACTGTTAGGCTTCTTAGAGCCAGATGAGATGACAATCAGTAATACTGATAGAGAGTCAATCTCTCATAAGAATAGTTTCTCTGATGAAACTGAAATAGTAGCGGGACGTGAAGATAAGGGTCCCGATTATCCCATGGCATTTACAGAAGAGAATGAAAATGAAGATATTTTAGATGAACCCAGATTTTCACCGAGACTTCTCAGGCCTGTTATTAACTGCGTTCCTCAATCCTTACCAGAACATGTCGCGAAGCATTTTAAAACTGATGGAACTCATGATACCCGGAAACGAAAGCTTAGTAAAAAAACTTATTCTAGTAAACAAAGAAAAATCAGTGATTCTAGTAAACCAGATATAACGAGCGCTGAAACCCCATATCTGATCACTGACGATACACCAGTCGGAACGGAATCCTCTATGGTAGATAAATCAACAGAACTAGACAAATCTGATAAATTTTACGATATTAAACGGATATTGATTCAAGCAACGCGTGAATCATCTGGGGTTAATCTCAAACGTTATAGACTATTTTCTAACATATTCCTTAAAAACTGGCGGTATTCAAAACAGTTTTCAAGTAATACAAACGCTCGTGGGAAGCAAGTTATTGATAACAATCTGAAAAAGATAGTGAAAGATTTGTATGAACATCATCTAATCAAGGTGAAAGGACCGGTACATAACGTGGATGTTATCAAAATGCTGACAGAAGAAGTGATGCAGGATAACTCTAGAATGTTCAGCCAAACACCACCCTCGCTAACAGTTCTAATAACCTCTGAACTGTTTGACAGGCACTTCACAGGTGGTGTGAGAGAACCTCTCCCAGTAAACGGACAGAGTGTCTCAAAGCGTGGTGGAGTCAGACCATTGAACCTGGGGTCTTCAACCAACCAGTGGCTCAAACTAAAGGATGAACTGGGGATGGAAACGAACTCAGAGGTTGCGTCTATCCTGATCCACTGTTACAAAGCGTGGATCAGTGTGGCGTGCAGCAAGTGCAGGAGACATATGGAGGTTGGGATGGAACAGAAAAGTGGGAGGAGTATAGCCAACTCAGAGACATCTGTGTGTATCGTGTCATGTGACTGTGGCAAGAGCACCAGTGGTGGGTTTATGATAGAGTGTGACGTATGTCACAAGTGGCAGCACGGGTTCTGTGTCAATGTGGATAAAGATAATATTCCTGATAGTTACTCCTGTAGTTGGTGCCGTAAAATAAGGGGGAAAGTGGAGTTGTCTGAAAAGAACAACGGTGATGATTCGGACGACAGTGTTGTCAGTATTGATAACACGAATTTGTGTTCTACAGATGACAGTGAGCCAGAGGTCATAGAGCTGGATTGAGTTCATACTTATAGAAGAGTACAGTATATTCGGGTTATATTCGTTTTACATATTGCCTTGCGGAACTGATATTTTCATCACCGTCCAATTAAACAATCAAGACTTATTTGGGCAGTTGAAAGTATTTATTCCTGTTTTGAAATTCCAGTTCTAGTATTTATTTGCTGTCACCCAGTTGGAAGTGATAGCATAAACAGATTTCTAATACGATTTTTAATAATTAAGACTGTTAATTTATTTTTAATTTGATTAACTATTCTACGATCAGCTTTTAAATTTGCAATCCAATCATTTAACTAGTAAAAAGGTTAAGGAACGGGAGATTTGTCAGTTAAAAAGGTTGAAGTCTAGCGTATTCCAGGATAAACAGCGTTAATGGGACCTCTGGGGTGGCGGAATATTATATAGACGGTGCGACAGCTAGCGGCCATGGACTGCTGAATGATATTATATAGTTAAGGCGGCAAACACATGCTACGCCACCGACTAGTTACAAATTTTGCTATAATTTCGTACGTGCTGCGCTGTACCATCTGTAATAATAAACGCGCGGCCCCAATAACTGTCCAACAGAAGACCCTTTTCAGGAATTGTGAAGTTCGGGAATCACATAAAATTGAAACGATATCATGTTCTCAGTTCTGGATAGAATGTTCTTTTAAAACAATTTAAAGGCGCAGAACTTGAATTTACGTTTAGTTCTGTCTGTTTACAAGATCGTGAAAGTATGCTAGTCTGAGCAACCAGACTAAAATTGGCAGGTCAATAAACGTGACTCTCCATAAAATATCTTAAAATAAAGCCCCCTGTTGGCAATTTATTGTAATATGGCCACGTTTATGAAGTTCCTTAATGAATATGCAGTATGACTAATGTCTAATAATATAAATAATTTTAAAACCACTATACACATATATTTTTTATTGAAATCTTTCAAATCAGTCAATTACATACAAGTTTACACAATGAATTAGTTAAATATAATATTGTCCTCTAAGCATGGATTGTCAAAGTTGAAATTGTCTCGGACAAAATGTATGTAACCAAAGGACCTGAGGGTCACCAAAACACAGATATTGAGTGCAAATGCAGCTCCTGCACAAGCATGGGCCCTTATAAAATTGTAATAAGTTACTTTAAACAAAATCACACACCCATTCAATCAATTCATAAAATATTGTGCTGTGAGATGAAATTGAGAAATATGTGAATGCAGACATCAAGAATAGATAATCTTGAATAAACTATTTTACGGATTTGTTTCTATTGAATAGTCAAGTTCAGAGTCCGAATCCACCGGGATAATTTTCCCCCACATGTAAGTGGAAAGTTTACTTTTAAAATCAGTGATACTCTCTATCTCACGGATATCTAGAGGAATGTGATTCCACTTAGTGTGGGTCCTATAGAAGAAATTCTTGGCAAAAGCGTTGGAGCTTGCTCGAGGTGAGATAGAGCTTACAAAACATAGAGAGTCCATGTGACTATTTCTGAGCCTTGAGTGGCCTTGAAATGGTTGCAAATATGAGGGTAAAGTGACAGGTATATGTTGCTTCACAATTTTAAAGAAGAAGATGAGATCCAAGAAGTCAAAGCGGTCTTCAATCGGCATAATCTTCAGCTGTCTGCATTTTTGAATGTATGTGGATGGTGGATAACTCATATACTCCTCGTGAAGAATCCACTTAATAGCACGCTTTTGGAGGCCCTCCAGCTTGCTTATCTGGGATTTTGTGACTGGTCTCCATATAACCGAGCAATGCTCAAATAGGCTCCTCACTAAAGTGAGATACAGTACTCTACGACGATTTACGTCTTGGACAAAATAACAATTTCTTCTCGCCATGCCTAATTTTTGGTTTGCCTTAGAAAGGACTTTGGAGCACTGATCTTTCCAATCGAGATTTGATGTCACAATTACACCCAGATCCTTTTCATGATCAACATAGTCAAGTGTGATTCTTCCCATGGAGTATACAAAGTTAAAGAGTGGTAGGACACTAAGGAGGGAAACTGTTTCGGATATCCTTCCTGCGACGGTGAGGACCTTACATTTGTCGGGATGAAATCTCATTTTATTAGAAAGTGACCAGTCATGGAGATAATCAATGTCCTTCTGCAGTCGCAGGATATCAGACTCCGAAACAATCTTACGCCAAATTTTAGTATCATCGGCATACAGTGACAGTTGTGTGCCTGGTGAAATCCCCACTGATATATCATCAATGAACATAATGAACAGCAATGGTCCCAAAATTGACCCTTGAGGTACACCAGACAGGGCGTTTCTCATAGAAGAAAACTTGCCACTTATCAAGACCTGTTGTTGCCTGTCTCTTAGATAATCAGTGATGAATTTCAGTAGCCTCCCATCAATACCAAATTTGCTCTTTAGCTTAAATAATATAAGATCATGGTTAACCGAGTCAAATGCTTTGGCAAAATCAAAGTAGACTACATCTGTTCTCATATTTTCATTCAGTGAGAGCGCTAGGCTGTCGCACAGTCCTACAAGATTAGTTGCACAAGATCTCTCAGCTCGGAAACTATGCTGTTTGTCATTGATCATGCCATTAGTAAGTGCCAATAACTCATCTCTTATTATGCGTTCAAGAACTTTTGTGATTAAGCATGTAAGAGAAATTGGCCTATAATTTGAAACCTCATGTTTATCCCCTTTCTTGAATATTGGTACAATGTGCCCCAGTTTCCACTCCCTTGGTAGTGTCCCAATGTTGTAGCATGAATGAAAAAGTATTGATATAGGGTATGCGAGCCCAACCGCACAGTTTTTCAAAAGTTTCCCATGGATACCATCAGGTCCATAAGCTTTATTAGCATTAATATTGGAAAGGATTTTGCGAACCCTTCTGTGGTCAAATTCAATATCAAAGCGCCAATCATTAGAGTAATCTATATCTATGTCATAAGTTGATGCCTCAGAGAACTGCTCGAAGAAAAAGTCATTAAATAGGTTGGCCTGGTCTTCAGGGCAGTTGCGGACAGTGCCTTTGTGGCTTACAAACTCAGGGATCCGCTGACTAGCTGTCTTCGATTTGACATAGGACCAAAATTTTTTTGTTATTAAAGCACTATCATCAGATTCATTTAATGTTTCCCTCATTTTTTGAGCAACCACATTTTTGAAATTTTTCCTAGCAAGGGAGAATGCAATTTCAGCTCTATCACTTTTATGCCTTTCTTTATGTAATCTCACTTTCTTACGCCATGCATCATAACACTCCGAGTCAAACCATGGATCTTGGCCATCAGTCTTGACAGAGCATTTTTTTATATATACTCTATAGTTGCCCTAATGTACGTAAAGGCTTCTCATAAATATCTAAAATCAACAAAGTAAGCAAATACATGAAAAAAGCTGTAAAACATTTTAAAAATTCATAGCCCAAAATATTCGTCCTCTTCCTCGGAGGTAGATTGATCATTATTATGGAGCAGAATATCTTTCAGGTTCTTAATTTCTAGTTTATCTTCTTTATCAGCAAAAGCATCGGCTGAAGTTGAAGGCATGGGGGCAGGTTCAACCGTATTTTTCCTCGACCATGCAGACGTATAGATCTTACTTCGGCATGTTGGACTCAGTTCCATCGGGTCCCTTTTTCTTAGGCGTTTCTTTTTTGCAGCAGGAGTTCCAAAACTCATGGGACTCATCTCAACAATGAACCCTAGTGACGAGGCAGCCTTTAAAGATTTTAAAGGTGTCAACTTTAATACACTCTTTTCACACAGCTGGGGGTTCTTAGCTTTTATCTGATTTCGTGGTCTGGATGCTTTGGGTTTAGTGTATGGTTCAGGCTTGGGTTTTAACTGTTTCGGTTTGACAGATTTATTTGATTTAGGTCTCCGAACTTTCTTTGGGTGAACCACCTTTAATTTTGATTCATTTGTTTTGACAGACTTATTTGAGTCAACTGTCCTCTTATCTAATCTATCTGAAGTAGCATTGCAGGTGCTAATTGCTTTACAGTTGGTAGAGTTAGAGTTAGGCCCTGCTCCAAGTGAAGCAAGTAGTTTTTGTCTACGACGTAAAGATTTTTGTGCGGTTTTATCTGATTGATCAGAGCTTGATGGTTTTGATTTAGCAGATGGTTCTGACTTAGCAGGTGGTTCTGACTTAGCAGGTGGTTCTGACTTAACGACCTTGTTCTCTGATGCGAGTATATACTCTTTGAGTCGTGCTGAAGACCTCCGTGCAGAAATACATGCAGATATACGTGACTGATCGGAGCTGGACGGTTCTGATTCAGTGAGTGGCTCTGACTTAGCCAGCGATTTCGAATTAACGTCGCCGTTCTCTGAAAACAGTATAGTAATGATTTTAAAATTGATAGATGTGAATTTGGAAATTAACTTAACCTGGAAATTGATGAATGGAAAATGTTTCCTCTTTTCCAAAAGATACCTTTGTTATGATCTGATTTTGTGACGGAAGGCTGAGAACAAATTCCAATCCGCTTAAGAAGCCTTTCTCCACGGCTCACATGCTTTCTCGTTTCTCCCATCTGAAGAACATACGATTTGTATCACTAATTCATAAAAGATCAGAAAGATTATTATTCACCAATTAAATTGTTTGAACGGAGATAGCAGTCTATCAGTATACTGAGATAACTCAACGTCTTACGTCGATACGAATCGTTGAAATTGTCCGAATTTAAATGTGAGTCAGTTGCGAATCTTCTATAATATAACAGCCGAAATGAAAAATACAATGTAAGATACTGAGATTAAAAACCTGTCAAGATGATCAGAACGTTATTCTGAGCTACATTGGAAAACGTTTTAATAATTGGATCATCATAATCCTATCTGAAACTTCTTTCACATTAATGATTTTATTTTTTGGATATTCAATAATTTTATTCATTTCATAAGTAATTGTCAGTTTTCGTAAAATATATGCTAATTTGCAAGAGAATTGGAAACTTTTGATTTAAATACGAATAAATTCAATAAACCAGTTTCAACAAAATTTATTGCTATCAATATTAAATACAAATATAAATTATAGCAGTAATATACAATATAGCATACAAAACTCAATAATAAAAAACAAACAATTCGTTTAACAAAAAATGAGGAAATGAATCCCTTGGCCCAAATTTCATTGGAACAGCGAAAGTAAAATTCAGTAGATGTCTGAATGATCAACAATACGACAAATATCTAACAAAATAATAAACAGTTCTTGAATATATTGGGATCATCAAATAGTTACTTTGTCCTCAGAAAAAAAGTCGAGTAAGGTCTGAGAATTGTCAATTCCTTGTAGATCTTGTTTGTTAGCCTTCACCAAATCAGCCACACATTTGAACCTGTTACTCAACTCCACCTTATCTGCAAAGAAAAGCTTATCAGTGCCACCGATACGTCAAATCAAATAAAATTCATCACATACGAATGATGTTTTTACAATCAAACAGGGCTTATATATAATTAATTATTCCCAGCTTGTGTAAATGAAAATAAACACTAAATTACCTGCTTGCTCAAAGGGTAGTGAGTTAAGTACGTCCTGGTAAGTGTTAGACCTCATATCATTAACACTTGTCTCTAGTCTCTGTTCTATTATCTGCCTTGTGTCTGGGTCACGGACCTGGGATCCTTTTTGTACAGAGATCAGTAACAGACTAGACGTACTAACTTTACTTTGAATTTGACAATTTAGTTTCATTCGTTCAGCTGGTTTCAGCAACTATTTAGGGGGGGGGGGGGGGGGGTTGACATGTCTTATTTACACCAGTTGACGTTCCTAAGATTGCTAGCTGTGAACTATCATGATGGAAGTAATCACATACAGTACGTGTCTAGACATTTAACACTATCATCTACATTTACCCATTTTTAGCATGGTCACTGCTACTTTACAAAAGTAACAATCAGGGAGCGGTTTGACAGGTGGATGTGAGTATTGTCGGCTCATTAAAAGAAGAGAAAAGGTCAGTTACCACAACACAATAGCCTAGGAAAAGCCCTGGCGAGTGTGCTGTACAGAACGTGCACGTGTGTACGTGAGTATTAAATACCTTTACAATGTTACACATAGCATCTGCACATTCTCTACCATCCTTTACTGGGAGAATACTCATGTCAGGTAACCTGCCGAGTGGTGTGTTGGATCAATAAAGTTAGGAAACAGCAGAAAAATATATAACTCCAGCAGATACCACTTAATATAAGAATTTATAGATCCACTCGCTTTTAACGATCTTTATTGGTTCTGTTATGCATCAAATATCCTCCAGTCAAGCAATTTTAGAGTTTTTATTTCAGGACAGAATTACAGGATAACTAATAACTAGTTATTACTATTATTAGTAACACTTTACTCACATTTCTTGAAGAAGCGATATAACATTAAGTTCGTTAAGTCCCAGTAACGGACTTACTGTAATCAGATATAAGCTGGTATGAACTTGCTGTGCTTTTCTTAACCTGTTAACATACAAATCATTAGTAAACAGCTATTAGAAGTGTATATAATATTACCAAGACGTGCCATTAAAAGTAATGGTGCCACCTGTACAACCACACTGTGTTACACAACTCAGGAACATACAGCGAGAAACAAAGCTTTCATATCCCCATCAGAGAACTAACAAAGTTGTGCACTTAAGATAAAGCAACTTTAGAATTACTAACCTGGTAACTAGGCCGGGTTTTAAGTTTAAAACTGGTTACTAGGTTGGTTACTAACTTGGTAACTAGGCCGGGTTCTAGAGCAGTTTCTGAGTCAGGTGGCCAGTGCTGCACTGACTTTGTCAGCTGCTGAGCTATAAATACTGGGCCTCCGTGAGGAAATATAACACTTCCTTCTGTGGTACCAGTACCATCTGTAGGGGAGATATAAAACTGTAACAGCTATCACAAATGTAGGGGAGATATCAAACAATAACTTCTATCACAAATGTAGGGGAGATATCAAACTGTAACTTGTATCACAAATGTAGGGGAGATATCAAACTGTAACTTCTATCACAAATGTAGGGGAGATATCAAACTGTAACTTCTATCATAAATGTAGGGGAGATATCAAACTGTAACTTCTACCACAAATGTATAGGGGAGATATCAAACTGTAACTTCTACCACAAATGTAGGGGAGATATCAAACTGTAACTTCTACCACAAATTTAGGGGAGATATCAAACTGTAACTTCTATCACAAATGTAGGGGAGATATCAAACTGTAACAGCTATCACAAATGTAGGGGAGATATAAAACAATAACTTCTATCACAAATGTAGGGGAGATATCAAACTGTAACTTCTATCACAAATGTAGGGGAGATATCAAACTGTAACTTCTATCACAAATGTAGGGGAGATATCAAACTGTAACTTCTATCACAAATGTAGGGGAGATATCAAACTGTAACTTCTATCACAAATGAAGGGGACATATCAAACTGTAACTTCTATCACAAATGTAGGGGAGATATCAAACTGTAACTTCTATCACAAATGTAGGGGAGATATAAAACAATAACTTCTATCACAAATGTAGGGGAGATATCAAACTGTAACTTATATCACAAATGTAGGAGATATATTAAAATTGTGACGACGAGCTAAGCAACATTGATCCAGAGCATGTTTGTGATTTAAACAAAATCTAGGTACTTATTTTACTTCGGTTTATCGAAACAGTTATATACCTAATGGTTACATTGTAACCGGTCAATTACAAGAGCCGAAGGTACAATCATATTTAGGCCATCGACGGTTAATGAAGTGTATACCATACAGCTACTTATTTTACCCTAAATTATTCGAGTGTGACATATTTATTGTAATTAACATTAACAAAGCAAATTTAGCAACAGATAAGAGAGCACTTAAAATCACAACAACAAACAAAAAGTTTGTACAATCCAAATACCTAATACAATTGAAATTTTCCTTGCAGTATCAATAAGTATCATAATTATAATTATAGACTAAAAGTCTAAGTCGAAACATAAAAAAACCTCTCAAAAACATAGATGGAGCATCCAAGTTCAATTATTTATCATGATAACCTTTATAGTCTACACTCTACACAGCCGATCAAAGTTAAACTTCTTCACCCGCCACATCTTCTTCGTCCCCTACTTTGCTTCTACATGAATCACGCTCACTTTCACACTGGCAACCGCTTTCACTTTCTCTTTTATTGTCGATCAGGCTCATCTTCAACACTTCCGTAGTGTTGTTCATGTTAGCAGTAACTTTCTTTATCAATAGTGCACAGAGAAGCAACATTAGACCTGCTAAAACAGCCCCATTCGAAAACGTGATCGTCTGGTTAAAATATAATCCTGAAAATTAGAATTTGTCAAGTCACCATTCGATTTGATAATTCTTGTTTAAATGAATAACCAACAACTAACCAATAACTAATATCAAAATGAAGAGGACTTTTAAAATGTATGCTGTATTAATTTTAATTTACCCTGAGTGCTAGTTTCGATATCCTCTTCTCCAACACTTTTAGAGCAGTTGATAATGCTGGTTTCATCAAAATTTTCACTTCGAGCATTATCTCCGTTGCCAGATTCGACACTGTTGCCAGGGTCGATGCTATTACCAGGGTCAATACTTTTAACAGGACTACGACTGTTACCAGGGCCAACACTGTTACTAGGGTCAACACTGTTGCCAGGGTCAACACTGTTGCCAGGGTAAACACTGTTGCCAGGGTCAATGCTGTTACCAGGGTCAAAATCTTTATCAGAGTCAATACTGTTACCAGGAACAACACTGTTGCCAGGGTCAAAACTGTTACCAGGGTCAATACTGTTGCCAGGGACAATACTGTTGCCAGGAACAACACTGTTGCCAGGGTCAAAACTGTTGCCAGGGTCAATACTGTTGCCAGGGTCAAAACTGTTACCAGGCAGGGACAAAAGGATTTCGCGGCATGTACGAAATCGCGAAATTTCCCATTCTCCGCGACAAATTTTATGTATAGTTTAATGTATAGCCTGTTAAATTTCGCGGTACCGCGAAATTTGGCCAAAATTACCGCGAAATCCTTTTGTCCCTGTTACCAGGGTCAATACTGTTACCAGGGTCAAAAACTTTATCAGAGTCAATGCTGCGCTTACTTATGTGAGAGCTAATATCCGCATCCTTGTCAGACAGCCTAGGTTGAACAATTGTCTTGACCAGCAGTATTTTAAGAGAGGTTTGGTGACTAAAATTCACAGGAGGTTCACTAGAAATGGGAACCATCAAACCGCACAATAACAAAATGAACATTTTCGATCAGTGGTGCGGTGGAATTTACGGTTTTCGTATAAAGCTAAGGATGATAACATACATGATGTATAATTAGATAGGTGTATGGCCTAAAGCCTACTTGTAATTTGAGTAGCTATTTGTATTTTGAGTTGCTACATCTGTTCTTGAGAGTTAATATCCGCATCCTTGTCAGACAGCCTAGGTTGAACAATTTTCTTGACCAGCAGTATTTTAAGAGAGGTTTGGTGACTAAAATGCACAGGAGGTTCACTAGAAATGGGAACCATCAAACCGCACAATAACATAATGAACATTTTCGATCAGTGATGCGGTGGAATTTACAGTTTTCGTATAAAGCTAAAGATGATAACATACATGATGTATAATTAGATAGGTGTATGGCCTAAAATAAAGCCTACTTGTAATTTGAGTAGCTATTTGTATTTTGAGTTGCTACATCTGTTCTTGAGAGTTAAATCAGTAAGGTATACATTGAAATTATTTCCGCTTTTAGCAAATAATTAGAATAACTAATAACTATAAAGCAAATATTTTGCGACTCACGAAGATTCCGCACTTTTGCAATCAGTAAAAAATATTGGGGATAGCGAAAATTTCTATTGAATTAGTCAGGGAAGGTCGTATATATATAATAATAATGATAATAATGGTATCTACTCACATCGGATGCGATGTCCTTTCTGCTGCAATCTGTTAGTTAAATCAGAGTTGGACAAAGAACAGTGAACTATCACCGGAGCTCCAGAATTCTGCATCTCAGCTGAGAGTGTTGAATGTGCAATTTAAAAAATAAAAAAAATTTAAATTTTAAACAAAATCCTTTCTAAACAAGGAGTTGACATTTTAATAATGAAAACAAAGGAAACATGATATGAAGACAATTTTGTTCAATTTTATACATAACAAAATCGATCATACCTAAAAATAATGTATTTTACAATTTTCTAAACCTTTGGATAAATCAAAAATATTAAAATCAATAATACAATAACTAAGTACCCTGAAAAACTGGTCGATTAGTAGTTGTAGGCATCAACCCAAGTCAGTCAAACCTGCTCAAATGTTTAACTTTAATAAAATCATATTTTCTACTACATTAATTATAATAAAGTTACTATCATACACACTGGAATTCAATATTTATAAATGCGTGTATCCTATAGCTATCAAAATAATCAAACTTAAAAATACACCACTCTATGATGATGACACTATTTTCTGGCAAAAACCCGAACACATTCGACTCCATCTATCCAGGTGGTCAAGACCATCTGTCCTGCGTCATCAATCTTTCTAACTGATTTCATGCCCATGTCACCGAGCAAGCCGTCCGCTGTGATGGAACCATCCTCACTAACAGTAACTTTACAAACATATGTTTTGGAGAACACTTGATCTGAAAATTCACTGCCATCCAAGGGAATCAACTTTTCCGTTGTTTTAACTGTTACTGTAATGATTTTCATATTGTCTCCCTCAAATGATATGGATTGGGATGGTTTAACATGTCCAGCAGCTTTCCTAATTAGAAAAGGTGCCCCAATTTTGTATAACATTTCTTCGACATTTGTTTGGCTGACAGTGTTCCAGTCACCAGCTAATTTCAGATGTTCTCCCATGTCAATCACCTGTCAGAGTGTTGAGAAGTTATTAATTATTCAGTAGAAACTAGAATACACTGAACGTGATAAAACATGACAATTATCAATTCAGACATTTAATCACTGCAGCTTTTGAACACATTAAATTCCAGATATGACACTTACAACAACTGCATCAATTTATCAATAATATTACCCATGAATTTATTTGTACACTAATTTGTGACTAAATATGTGACACAATTAAAAACACAATGATCATGGAAATATTTATCAAATAGTCCTTACTTTACAGCAACAATCAAATAAAAATTTCAAATTTCAATTTTTACTAACAATAAAAGATAACAAACCCTAAAAGAAAGGTGAAAAAATGCAAGATAGATAATAAAATAAAATCAAAAATTAACACAATATAACAGCAATAACAAAAATCTGATTTTATTTTAGGGAGGTTTAAATCAACATATTGGATATTGTACTCAGAGGCGTAACAAAGGGCCCAGCTGACCCCGCTGTGCGGGGTGTGGGACAATTTTGAAAAACTTAACTGAGGTACTAGCAAAACTGCATGTTTTGCTCTAGAACAGGGACAAAAGGATTTCGCGGCATGTACGAAATCGCGAAATTTCCCATTCTCCGCGACAAATTGTGTGTAGTTTAATGTATAGCCTGTTAAATTTCGCGGTACCGCGAAATTTGGCCAAAATAATCGCGAAATCCTTTTGTCCCTGCTCTAGAAACACACTTTTTTAGAGATTTTACTGGCTTATCCTCTAAAATCACCTAATTTGTTCAATTTTAGAGAGGGGTGCCAAAAGGGGAGGGGGCGCTAACAAGGGGGCGGATTTTCGGCGGGGGCGCCAACAGGCAACGTTACGCCACCGATTGTACTCAGTGTCGAAACGACCGTCCCTGCCTCCCCTCGCCTCCCCTGCTATAGGAGTGTGGAAAATCGTCGTTTGAATGTGTGACAATTTTGAAATACTTTACTGAATTGAAGTACTAGCAAAATGCGCATTTTCTCTAAAACACACTTTTTTAGAGATTTCTCCACTTCTCCAGTGCATTCTCTAAAATCAGGAATTAGAAAAATGTAGGGGGGGGGGACTGGAAATTTAGCTAGGGGGCAGCCCAAAGATACGTTTCGCCACTGATTGTACTTTTGAAATTCTGGGATAAACTCTACTAAATCTGTTGCCTAAAATCTTATAAATCATCAGTGTGAAATAAATTTTTGCATCAATAATGTTGAAAATGGATTTATTAAAGGTTTTTGATGGTGTGATGACAGTAACAAATAACAGCTGATAGCTAGATGGTATCTAAAGTTGTTTTCTCCCAAAAATCCGGACACATTCTACATCTTCCACATTTGTAGTCAATACCATTTGACCTTCATCATTAATTTCCCTAAGTACAGTCAAATCAATACCACCAAGTTTGCCCTGGACTCGAATTGAGCCAGTATCATTTATTGTAGCAGTGGCGACAAATAGTTTTTGAAACATTTCATCGGAAAACTCAGTTCCATCTATGAGAACAGTGCTTTCCTTTGTTGATATTCCGGTTTCAGTGGTAATAAACATCTTGCCTCCTTCAAAGGATATCCTTTGAGAAGGACTAACTCTAGGTCCAATTTTACGGATGATGAAAGGTGCACCCAATTTCTGTAACAGTAGCTCTAAGTTGTTGTGACTGATACTTTGCCATTCACCAGCAAGCTTTAAGTGTTCTGCGCTGTCTGACATCTAAAAGATGGAATTAAGTTTAAAATTTGTATGAATGTACAGTAAATCACTGTACTGCCTTCTGATTGCAATTTATAAACCTACAAAATTACTTAGTTGATTAATAAGGTTCATTTAGTTGAAGTTTAACATCAACGCCGAAATCATGCAGACTGAAAGTGGTGAAAACAATAAATATGGTGTATGCATGTGTACTGTTACAAGATAGTAGATACTAAATCTTTTGGCAGGGACCCTCCATATTTGACCCTCAATCACGGATTCCCTGATCAGTGATCATTCGACTGATGTTCGTGATGATGATGGCAACTGATAAGACTCCACCAAAAACGAATGACGTATATACCACATTTAAACCGTGATCATGTATTTCATTGAGCAATATACTACGCTACAATCAATTCTATTCGTAACTCTAATTATATCCGAGAGACCACATTTGAATCTTAATCAATAGTTTGATCCAGCAATTTACTACGCTAAAATTAATGGCAAATTATGCTAGTGGTAACTAATTGCATCCAAGATACCATACGTCCATACATACCAAGATACAATACATACCATTCAATTTCATAACATTTCATGATTGATATGCGGTCATTATGATCGGTTACATATGATCTGGTAAACTATCAATAGATTGAAGCGGTCATATTGCATATAGTGTACAATTGTTCACGAACACCTGTTCGCAAACAACTGTTCGCGAACAGGGGTCAGGCTATCTGGATACTGCCTTAGGGTTGTGGTTAGGGTTATGGATAACTTTGGGGTTATGGTTAGGGTTAGGATTAGGGTTTGTGTAAAACCGTTTTGTTCGGCTGCAAAACCAGAGCCTAGTTTTGTAGTGATGTAGATCCGGAACCCTTTCGTCACATCAAGTTCCTTGTCGCCCACTTTAACCTACATGTACACCAACAGGGATTGTCTATAATTTTGATGTTATATCAATTTATCAAAGAATCCTCAAATCTCGCCAGGCTACACTGCGTCGGTGGGAGAACTATTTAGGTTCATGACATCTAACGCCCGCCCAATCATGGCAGCCCCATGACAATAGGTTGATGTCCGACCCGTTGTCCTTGGCCTATCTCGAGTCGTTGGGTCTAGGCGGAAACGCCGAAAGGGATGATGTTACCTTCTTGACTTAACGTAATGGTAATTTTCTCAAAATCCTTGAATAAATGGGTAACCCCTAGTAATGTCTTTTCTAGCACTTTTAGATGTTGCAATGGTAGAGGTTGTCTCACTTGCAACAGTTTTAATCCTGTTAATACATTTAGGAGCAGTACTTTTAATAATGATTTTATCTTTGGACATACAAATTTTATATTTAATTGTAAAACTAATAATGTTATTTATGTTATTACCTGTTCTACCTGTAAAAAACAATATGTTGGAGAAACAACTCAACCACTTCATAAAAGAGTCAATGGCCACAGAAATTGTGTCAAAGCCAAATCATCCACATTTTTATATGAACATTTTAATATTCCTGGTCACGTCTTCTCAGATGCTTCCATACAGATTGTAGATTATGTTGATTCTGACATGTCCACCGATGTCAAAAATGATTTACTTCTCCTGGAGGATTACTGGATAGAGAAGCTTGGGACAGCATTCCCTCTTGGTCTTAATGACAAGAAGAAAGGAACGGGCAACATCTCCCAAGATCGGGTTATGAATTATTTTAGTGGACAGATTGCTCGATACAAACGTGGCAGAGGGAATGGAAAGAGGAAAGTTCAGCCTAAGAAGTCTCTGGATACCATAGAGTCTGATATTAACAGGCTGAAAGATAACATCTCTTCAGAACATTCCATATACAAAACATTAAAATGTTATAGCTTATCAGATTTAGACACTCTCTACTCTTTGAGTCAAAATAATTCAGGATTGATTTACAACGTATGTTCCTCTTTCTGTTCAACATTTTCCCCCAAATACCATCAGAACAAATCTGAATCCAGTAATAGAGAATTTATAATTGTTCCATTTAATTGCAAATTCATTGATAATCTTAACCTAAAATCTATTTTCTCTGACACTTCAGTCATTGATTTGCTTCCCATTTTGATTCAGTCTTTTACACCATTACAGATTTATTATGAGTATAATGATCCTATAAGTCTTTCTATTTGTAACTATGCTTCATTCTTAAAGAAACTTTCTATTTCTGATATTAAATCTATTTTAGGCAGTCCATGCGATTGTCACTCCTCCCCTTTCAATTATCCTCCTCATGGACATGTAGTTACTGGTAATTTAGATATTGTTGATAATGTTGAACTTAGGGAAGTACTTTCCTACGGTTGTAAATACAGAATTCCCACATTTAAATCTCCAGATGAGATATATATGTCAGTTACCGAAGCTGTCGATAAATTTATAAAATCAAAAA